AACAATGGCGGCAGAGCACAGCGCTTCTGCCTGCACTAGAGTCTGCGTGAGTCCAGGAAGTGTTTTGGTGCTGGGTGTCCTAAGCATTAGAGCTGCTGACCCCCTCCGCTGGGGGTTTCCTCCTGCCAGAGACACGCAGTCTGGTGCCCTGTTGCCCTGGTGCCCACAGTTCTATCTGAGGCGGCGAATCGCGCGCGCAGGCAGGGCTCTGTGCAGGCAGGCGCCTTTGTCCCTCCCGGCTCTGGGTCCGGGCTGGCTCCTGGGGCACCCGCGGAACCCGAGTCTTTTCCAGGGGATGTCTGGGCAACCTGGGGTCGGTCCCAATTGTTTCCTGCTCCGTGGGGTTATCTCTCGACTGGGAGATCCAGTCTATGGTGTTGTGGGCCCACAGTTCAGTCTGGGACCGTGACCAGATCGCGCTGGCGGGTAGCTCTGGGCTGGCGACCAAGCGCCTGGCGGAACGGGGATCTCTTCCGCGGTTTTGCCAGGTGAGTTAAAGCTGATCGAATCCCCCACCGTGGGGTATCCTCTCACCTGAGAAACACAACCACTTGTGTTTTATGGCCGCGAGTTCTGATTGCTGGTCACTGTGCCAATCCTGCTGTGCTGCTCCTCAGAATGAGAGTCCTCCCGGCGCTGCCATCTTGCCTACCTAGTAGCAATATCTTAAAAATATGTAAATGAAAAGATCCCTTCATCTTTTGTATTTTCTTTTTCATTATAAAAGAGAATATTTACATTTCAGACCATTGTGACCATCAAGCTCTTTTAAGGTTTTCAATGAGTTTCAGACATGCAAAGAAATATAGGCTCCTAAGAATATCCTTATTACTTAATATGTGTGCGTGCGTGTGTGTGTGTGTGTGTGTGTGTGTGTGTGTGAAATTATTTAATTTTGTGTGTGAGAGGGTTATGAAAACAGCCTTCTGGAAAGGCAAGGGTAGAAGCCACACTGCCTATTAGTTCTAATGGTCAAATATTTAAGAAAAACAGAATAAAAATCAGGTTAATGGTATCATAGAGCGTAGTCGTGGTGTCCAGACTGTAAGCACTGATATTGTACAGATTACCAACTTTTTTTTAGTAGATAATTTATTAGGAAAAGGATGTCTTGAGGCCAGGCTTGGTGGTTCATGCCCATAATCCCAGCAATTTAGGAGGCTGAAGTAGCAGGGCTTTCAAGTTCCCAGGCCAGCTTGGGCAATAATGTGAAATGCTATCTCACCAAACAAACCAAGGTACTGAGGTGACAAGACTTTCAGGTTGCAGGCCAGCCTGGGCAACAGTGTGTAATCCTGTCTCTACAAACAAAGCAAAGTAAAGTGCAAACCCATGTATTAGAAAGCCTTAAGGAACAGAATTTGTGTACTTCTTGAATCCTAATTTCAGAAAAACCTAACTGAAATTGTTTGTTAAACTCACATTCTGAATATCATTGATATAATTACAGTGTATCCTCAGTGTATGTAATACAACGAGGAAAATATAAACGTTGATTAGATATAAGCCTCTCCTTTACAACTCCCACGTCTAGGTAGGAGAGAGGTTAGTGGGGAGAGGGCCGCAGACCACTTTACTTCTCCCAGCTGTTTAGGGTCTGTGGGTTCTTTCGGGGGTTATACCAGTCTCTGTCAACAGCAGACACAGCAAGCAGTCTCCTCCAAGCCGCTGCATTGAATCGTTTCTCTCGTCTGTCTCCAAGCCACCATCCATCTCTGGTCTTTCCAGACTGCCACTCAGCACACGCCATGACTGCACACTACACTTTCTCTTTCTGGACTCTCATATATTTATACTCTCAGAGCCCTGGACCACGCCCCTCTCTGTGCTGCACCCGAGGCAGGCTATTACCAGCTGGCAAAGACCACACTCTCCCCACACAAGGCGATTATCAGCTGTGGACAAACCAAAGCCCAAACTAAAATCCCACACTTGGGATTAAAAGAAAAACATATTAACACAACATAACTGGGTTTTATAAAAAACAAAAGTTCTAGTACATGCATTAAGTATCAAAAAGTTTTGCTACTTTTTCCATATAAATGAATATGTCTCAGATAGCTAGATCCTACCTTACTCTGCAGTAAGCATACAAAGCACAAAACTTATTTGGAGTTCTTTGTTTTATCTTGGAATTAGATGCCCCTCTTTCATCTTGCATTTAACAAATAGGAATATTTTTAAATAAATTATATTACCTTTATTGAATCAAATAAATTACTCCAAGGAAATGCGTCCTATGTGGTTTGATTGTAACTTAGAATACACCAAGCATGTACAGTTCTTGTTGAAAATGTCCAGCTTGCATAGCTTGTCAGTCTGAGTCTGCTTGTAATGCTCATAATGCTGCAAACTGAGTGAAACAACAGAAACTTATTTTCTCATTGTTTTGGAAGCTGGAGAGTGCAAGCCCATAGTGTTAGGACTGGTGTTTGGTACAGACCCTCTCTCTGGGTTACAGCTGGCTCCTTGCTAGCTCTCCTTATCCTTTCTGTGACAAATGCTTAAATAGACAGCTTTCTGGCATCCATTCTCTTAAGGGTACTAGTTGGGTCAGGACCTTCATGCATAACTTTATCCTCCTTACCTCCAGAAAAGCCTTTGCTCTAAATACAGTGATTCTGTGTATTCAGCATCTAAACTTAGGGGAGATAAAACATTCCATCTACAACATGATATTTATAAAACAATGTTCGTGCCTATGAAGTAGCACATGATTCCATTTAAAACATTTTCTCCAAGTGTTTTCTTCTTCATCTTATATTTTTGTTCCCAAATTTTTACTCTTATTTTTTTCCTTTTTTAAAATTTGTGCAATTATTTTTAATATAATTTTTTATTATTACAATTTATTCACTTTGTATCCCAGCTGTAGCCCCGTCCTCATTCCCTTCCCATTCCATCTCCCCTCCCTCCCTCATCTCCTCCTATGCCTCTTCCCCAGTCCACTGAGCAGGGAGGTCCTCCTCCCCTTCCATCTGACCCTAGCTTATCAGGTCTCATCAGGACTGTCTTTCATAGTCTTCCTCTATGGCCTGGTTAGGCTGCTCCCCCTCAGGGGGAGGTGATCAAAGAACCAGCCACTGAGTTCATGTCAGAGACAACCCCTGTTCATTATTAGGGAGCTCATTTGGAGACTGAGCTGCCACGGGCTACCTCTTTGCAGTGGGTCCAGGTTAACTCCATGAATGGTCCTTGGTTGGAGCATCAGTCTCAGAAAACACCCCTAGGCCGAGATTTATTGGTTCTGTTGTTCTCCTTGTGGAGCCCCAGACCCTTCCAGGTCTTTCCGTTTCCCTCTTCTTTCATAAGATTCCCTGCACTCTGCCCATAGTTTGACTATGAGTCTCAACTTCTCCTTTAATACCTTGCTGGGTAGAGTCTTTCAGAGGCCCTCTATAGTAGGCTCTTGTCTTGTTCCTTATATTCACGTTCTTCCAATGTCTATCCCGTTTGCCTTTCTGAATGAAGGTTGAACATCTTACCCAGGATCCTCCTTCTTGCTTAGCTTCTTTAGGTGTACAGATTTTAGTATGATTTGGTAGATACTCATTTATAAGTGGATATTAGACATAATATAGGATAATTATACCAAAATCTATACTTTAATTTTTTAGAAAAGTTAAGAAGATAATACTGTGAATGTTTAAGACTTTGCTGTATTTGCTTTTGTGTGTCTTTTTATTTTTTATTTTTTTAAATGAATTTTTTATTATACTTTATTCACTTTGTATCCACCCATAAACCCCTCCCTCCTCCTCTCCTAATCCCACCTTCCCTCCCCCTTCTTCATGCATGCCCCTCCCCAAGTCCATTGATAGGGGGGTCCCCCTTTCCTTCCTTCTAATCTTAGTCTTATCAGATCTCATCAGGAATGGCTGCATTGTCATCTTCTGTGGCCTGGTAATGCTGCTCCCCCTTCAGGGGGAGGTGATCAAAGAGCAGGCCAATCAGTTTATGTCAGAGGCAGTCCCTGTTCCCATTACTATGGCACCCACTTGGACACTGAACTGCCATGGGCTACATCTGTGCAGGGGTTCTAAGTTATCTCCATGCATGGTACTTGGTTGGAGTATGAGTCTCTGGAAAGACCCCTGTGTTCAAATTTTCTGGTTCTGTTGCTCTCCTTGTGGAGTCTGTCCTCTCCAGATCTTACTATTTTTCTCTTCTTTCATAAGATTGCATGCACTCTGCCCAACAGTTGGCCATAAGTCTCAGCATCTGCGTTGATAGGTCTGCAGGGCAGAGCCTTTCAGAGGCCCTCTGTGGCAGGTTCCTAACTTGTTTCCTGTTTTCTCCTTCTTCTGATTTCCATCCTCTTTTCTTTTCAGGATGGGGATTGAGCATTTTAGTCAGGGCCCTCCTTCTTGATTAGTTTCTTTAGATGTACAGATTTTAGTAGGTTTATCCTATATTATATGTCTATATGAGTGAGTATATACCGTGTGTGTTTTTCTGCTTCTGGGACAGCTCACTCAGGATAATCCTTTCCAGTTTCCACCATTTACCTGGAAATTTCATGATTTCCTTTTTATGACCCTTCTATGTGCATGCTCTCTGTAAATACAAATATACATATGTAAGACATATGTTGAAACAGACTCACATATATAAGTATATAACACGTATGTGTGTAGTTATTTCTTTGATTTTTGCTATACTGTTTGCAAATGAAAGAAAGTTGTTCTTCATAGAATTTGATGGGTAGCTATTAAACAAAAATTCTGAGATCTCGTCACTCATTGATGGGGGGGCTGCTGTAGTTATAAAAAAATTTCAATTTTGATGTCATAAAAGCCATGCTACTTCATTTTGTAAGTCTTTGAAATGTGTTGGTTACTTTGGTGGTAGAAGTCTTTAAGTCTAATAATGCTTATTGTAGTATCAGATAAATTGTGCTCATGAAGTTAGTATTAATTTATTGGCATGATTTGACAGGGATTTTTTTTTTTTTTTTTTTTTTAGTCATTCTCATTTTTTACTTTCCTTTTCCACGGCAGTATACAATGCTGTCAGGGCAGGTTCCATTCCAGTCTAATGACAGAAGTTTAACATGCACTAGTGCAGTAGAAATCATGAAGAAAATTAAAAAGGGAGATTTTTCCTTTGAAGGAGAAGCATGGAAGAATGTATCCCAAGAGGCTAAAGATTTGATTCAAGGTAAGACTCTCAAGAAATCTGGTATTCTGCATCAACTGTTGTGTCTAAGTAGAACCATGCCCAGGACTCAAGTTTGTGTTTGTTAATTGTTCCAGAAACCCACAAGGAGCCTAACAGTCTTGCCAGGTAGCTTGTCTTCTTTTTCTCCCTCTTCTCCCTTTATAACCTCACCCCATTTCCAGCATAAGCTACCACATGGCTCCTGCTGGCATCTCAATGAGCAGATCCAAAATGAACCTCATCTTTTCTTTTTTGCTTTCTTTCCCCCAAACATGTACTTCTGTCCCTTTTCTTTTGAATGATGGCACTCCACCAAGGCCAGACCATAGAAACAGAAGCCTTGGAACACCTAGGCTCCTTCCTTTCTACTCACATGACTTTCCAGTTAGTCCTACACCAACAGGGCAGAAATCATACCTTTTCTCAGGAAAAATCCTCTGAAGAGTCTCCTGTAGCTTTGTGTCCAGCTCCTTAGCCTTCACAGCCAGCCTCTCATGTCCTGGCTGCCCTGCCTCTGCTTTATTGTCCTGTCCCACACTGCTGTGGAATGTTTTAGTTCCTCGTGGATCAAGCTTTCAGAGGCCTCTGCTTCTTCACACATGGTCCTCTTAGTCTGGTGCCTTCTTCTCATCACATGGCCTTATTTCCTAGAAGCCTTGTAGGCTGAACACATTTCCTGTGTTCAACTCATGTGTTTTTGCTGCTGCACTGGTCCTCTCAGGTTAGAATAGCCATCCTTGTCTCTATGTCTCCCACTCTCTCCTCTGAGTGTGTGCCCCTACGTCTCTAGTGCCCTACTGCATCCTTTGTCCTAGAAGATGGCTAGTATTTGGTTTATCTGGAGTTTACTAAGTCCCCAGTGGAGTCTTTTTGAGGGGTGGTTATTTTCTCTTATGTGAAAAGCCAGTTGGCTTACATACAGCCTCATAGAAATAGGTTCTTGTGACCTTTTCTTAAAATCCAGTGTCCGCAAGCAGATATCAGTCTTTATGAAAACACATATGTAGGCAGTAAAGGCTTGTTGAAGCTTTCATGCTTTAAAAACATAATTGACCTTCATATCTGAGACTGATTGTTAAACTGTTGAAAGTGGAAAATTATAAAATTGCAATGCTTTATTCCCACAGGACTTCTTACAGTTGATCCAAATAAAAGGCTAAAAATGTCTGGCTTGAGATACAATGAATGGCTTCAGGATGGCAGTCAGCTGTCCTCTAATCCTCTGATGACTCCAGACATTCTGGGATCTTCAGGAGCCGCTGTGCACACCTGTGTGAAAGCAACCTTTCATGTAAGAGCCTGTTCTGTGCGCTAGCATGGTTTAAAAAGGCTCCTAATCAGGTGTTCTTGTTGGGTAGCATTGGAGACATGGTCCCCATCGATACATTTAAAACAATTGTGTGCTTTTAACTTTAGGTGTGTTTTTAAAAACTGCTTTCTATTATGAACACATTATGACTAGAAAGTGCATGGCAGGCCAGAGTTACTAACTCAGAACACTAGCTATTTAAAATGAGTTTCTGAAAGTGGACAGTAATCTAATATTTGAATGTTTGAAAAGTCAAACAACACATACAAGAACTCTCTCAAATGAGAAGTCATTTCCTAGAAAAATATACAACAGAACATTGGAAACTAAGGCCTATGTGAACATCCACTCTTTAGCAACCCATTAGTGCACAGCTGGAGGCAGGAAGGACGTGAAGGAGATGAGCTGTGCTAAATGCACATTGTATTGAAAGGCTGAGACTCTGTATCACTTTGTCTCCAGCAGATGCACACAGTTGAGATAGTCAGTGCAAGATGAGTTGAAAAAGGCAGAAAGCGTCTGAAAGGATTATCCTGGGGAAGGAGAAGGAATAGCACTGCTCCGGCTACAGAATAGAATTTGAAAAGCTGATAAATGTAACACATGAAGGACTAGAGAGAATGGCCATAGGAATCTAGTTCTTCTCAGGGGCTGTGACATGGGCTTGGCAGGCATCACTGTAGCACTCCTCATAACCAACAGTAGGGAAATTTAGGATGGAGTGAGTGTGGTGGAATCTCAGCACCTGGGAGGTAGACACAGGAGAATCAGCCCAGGTCATCCTCTCCTACATACAAGTCTGAGGTCAGCCTGGGCTGCCTGAGACCCCTATCTCAAGTAACACAAGCTGGAGAGATGACTCAGTAACTAATAGCAGTGAAGCTACTCATGTTAAATAAAAAAGTACTTTAAGTAACACAAAAAAGCAACAAAGAGAAGTAATCACAATTCTGAGACAGCTCAGCTGGTACAGTTCACACAGTTTGCTTAATGTCAGAGCACTTGCCTGTCATGTGAGGCCCTGCTCTAGTTCACACTAGAGAACTTTGTGTGGGTCTTAAGAGCTGGATGGAAAAGTCCTCTGAGCTTTGTTTGAAGAGCAACGTGGAACTGTGGTTTTCAGAAAAACTGACTTCTGCTTATAGTCAAAACTACTGGAAAGTCTTTAATGCTGTTATCCTCATGTCTTTGTTGTCCCTCCTTTCTCTGCAGGCCTTTAACAAATACAAAAGAGAAGGGTTTTGCCTTCAGAATGTGGATAAGGCCCCATTGGCTAAGAGGAGGAAAATGAAGAGGACAAGCACCAGCACAGAGACGCGGAGCAGCTCCAGTGAGAGCTCCCGCTCGTCCTCCTCCCATTCCCATGGCAAAACGACACCCACCAAGACACTGCAGCCCAGCAACCCCACAGACAGCAGTAACCCGGAAACGCTCTTCCAGTTCTCGGACTGAGTGCTGTGGGACGTGGGCGGCCCTCGCTAACCCTTACACCTTACTTCCCTCAGCATGTGCCTGAGGTATGTTCTGTGCTTTAAAGAGATGTGTCCCCTTGTTCTCATTGGAATCTGCCTCGTAATGAATATTTTTCGGGAAACCTGTCTGGTTATCCTTGTCCAAAAGCACTGGACAGACAGCATTACTGTGAATAGAGGACACATGATACTTTTTTAGTGGACTAGCATGATACCAGCTCAAGATTCTTCTTGAAACAGCAAAGGTTTCTGTAATTTTAGTAAGTGGTTAGATAAGTCATGGATTTTTCACCTGTCTGCCAAGAAGACTTGATGACTTCTGCCATGCCTGGTGGGCAAGGAAGCTTTTTAAGAGACTTGCACCCTCTGGGTAGCAATTTACCAGAGATAAAGGTCTGTTTTTGAAAAAGATGCTATAATGAATTTTATGTGTGGCTTGTTTCTTAAAAGAGAATTTTAACTTATTGTTTTTATTTTATGGTCATATATGCTGATAACCTGCTATTATTAATCTTTTTCTAAAAAGCAAAAAAAAATATATATATATATATATTTAAGAACTTAAGGTCCTATGCTCTGCACTTGGGACCCATCTGAGATGCATGCTAAGCTATGTTTATTTTAATTTTGCACTGCCCTTTCCTGGCAGTTTGTTTTAATGGTTATTGCAGGAGTTAAGGTACATGTCTCTTGGTTTTATGTAATATGGCACTTTATAAAATAGTATGAGTATTGTAGTCTGTCTTATAAGGTGCACTGTTTAAAGCATATGTACTGTATTTTTGCCATTCTTTTCACTATCTAATTTGTCCTCACATCCCTCTTCTGCTTTCTAAGCAGCAAGTAGAACGGGATGGTTGTACATGATTCCTTAGCCACTTATGCACCAATATGAGGAAAAGTAAAGGGAAATTAAACTCAACACTGTGCTTCATATCTGTACACTGTGTTGCACTACAGTGAGGCATTTTCTCCTGTAGTCATATATTATGTATATAATATTTTAGAACCTTACCTATACTTGTTTTGAAATGTTTCTGTTAAATTTTAAATCCACAAAGCATTTTATAAACTTATGCAGAGCACTTTTATTGCTCAAAAGTTCTGAATTCATACAGAAAACAAGTGCTATGCCATGAAGACATTTCACTGAAAGACTGCTGTATTTTAAAATACAAAGTAATTAATTCCCTATGCAAGAAAAGAAATTATAGGATTTGTATGGTTTTTTTTTTTCTTTAAAGCCATTACATGGAATGTCAGGACTCCAAAAAATGATCTCCACTATGTTTACAAGAATCATGCTTAAAAAGATACTGCCCAACATGCTTATTTTACAGTTTTGTTAGTAATAATTTCTTCAGCATTAGTTTGGAATTTGGACACAATACCTACTTATCTCTTTCTTAAGATTATGGCAGCATTAATTTCAAGCAGTTATGAATACTAAAAATACTGCATTCTGTGTAATGGTAGTATATTTATTACTAAATCAGTGTATATATTAAAAATATAGGCAACAAAATGGTAAATATTAAAATATTTTCAAAACATTATATTATCCTGTTCACTTTTTGTTCACAGTACAGTAGTTACCGGGGATATTTTTTGATACTCTGACTGGCCAAATGGCTATATAATTCTCATTGAGTCAATAAAAATTTTGTACTCCTAGTTTTCAGTCATTTCTAGTCATGATAAGAAACTGTGTGAATTATTAATAAACTGTAGCCATTTCAACAAAATGTGATGCCTTTGGGCACAGGTTTTTAATAAGAATATGTCCACTTATTTTTACACTGGATATACCTGGGTTATATTTGGAAATGTATAAGTTAGTTCTTGGAGTTATTTATTGTATATCCTGGTAGGAACTATGAGTTTCAAAGTACAAACTAAGGAGACTGTTTTGCCAACAGAAAGTAACCCACAAAAGTGTTTCAGCGTTCCCTCATGATTGATTAGTTCATAGTGAATATTGGAAATTGATGGTTTTTCATTTCTTCACCTTGTGTCTTCTGGAGGATTTGATAGACACTGAAATGGGCAAAAGTAGCGTAAGAAGAAGAGATAAGGCTATGTGAACTGGTGAGCCTAACTGAGTCATCTAGAGGGAGCTTGTGGAAAGACATCAGGAGACTTCAGGAAGATGCTGCCACGGTCAGGCGATTTATAGGCACTTGAAAGGCAGTACCTAACGATCCCTTGCAGAGTCTGTGTTAGTGGACAGCAAGGTGTCCTTTAAGAATCGCAGACCTTCCGTTTGGTCACTTCAAAATTAAACAGTCAAAATGCTACATACAAAAATACTAAGTGGGGCCTGGAGGAGATGGCAGCAGTTAAGACAGACGCTGCTCTTGGCAGAAGGATGTGAGCTCCACTTCCAGCATCCATGTCACACAGCTTGCAACAGCCTGGAACTCCAGCTCCAGGACATGCCATGCCTGCTTCTGGTGCACCAAAATAATAAAATTAAAGTAGGTCAACGAAAAATCAATATCTACTTTAAATTTCCTTTATGACAATAGTTTGGGGAATAGAGTCAAGTCATCCTACCCTTCTTTATTGATTATACTGTGTGTAACTTATGCTAATGAATATCCCGAGTCACACATTTTATAATTGCATTGAAAGGCAAGGATAATAAGAAAAGGGATGTGAGAGGGAACAAGACTAAAGGAGACCAGTTCTTCTAATCACTGTGGCAGGTCCAGTTGCTGAATGAAGTAATTTAGCTCTCTTGAAATCCATCATTTCTCCAAGCCTCTATAAAAAAAAAACATTTAACTATTGGAATGAAGTGAATTTCAACATGATTATCTGTCTTGAAGTTGCAGGCTCATTTGTGCATGAAAACTGCCTTTTTCTTTTGAGATTACTGCTAATTAAGTTATTATGCAAATGGCTATATTTTAAATGTAAGGCAATTATTTTAAAGAATCCTACTAGGGTAACAATGAGTGATCTGTTTTTTTTTTTTTAATAAATAAAATTCTTTATCTAAATGTGAACTCATATTTTATAAAAGCATATAATTTATTGTCTATTTGTTTGCTTTTCTTTTCTTCTTTCTTTTTTCTGTTTTTCAAGTCAGAGTTTCTCTGTCTAGTCTTGGCTATCCCGGAACTCACTCTGTAATCAGGCTGGCCTCAAACTCAAGATATCCACCTGCCTCTTCCTCCTGAGCACTGGGAATAAAAGTCTGAGCCACCACCCCCTGGCCACTTTTCTTCTATTTCAGACAGGTTTTTGTTTATTTAGATTTATTTAGAATAAGATGCTTTAAAATGTTGGAAATTTCTCATTGTTGGCCCTGTACACATTATTTTAAAATATTAGAAATTTTGCATTGTTGGCCCTGTATACATTATTGGCTTTTTATGCTTTCGAGCTCCTGGCTACTTTCAGGTGTTTTCCCAGAGGCCATCAACAGCGTGTCTGGGGTGCTTGTGTGGCAACATCTCTAATATTCCTTAGTCTACTGAGTTAAATTCTAATACATTACTTAAATTCTGTCAGAATACTTGTCTCCAGGTGAATTATTATAATGAAATATCTTCAATCTACACTGCTTGGCCTCTCAAATGTCGTATACCCAAACACCTGAATTTTTTTATCTTTAACTATACTATGTGAGTTCCCGTTGCTACTTGATACCTTCATCCATCACTAAAATGAGCATAGCAAGCTCTCATGAAATAAAAGTCACCATTTGGGTTATGTTTGGTTTTCTGTTTGTCTGTCTGTCTGTTTGTTTGTTTGGTATTTGATTTTTCATTTTGTTTTTTTGTTTTGTTTTGTTTTGTTTTGTTTTGTTTTGTTTTGTTTTGAGACAGGGTCTCCCTGTGTAGCCCTGGCTGTCCTGGAACTCACTATGTAGACCAGGCTGGCCTCAAACCTATCAGAGATCCACCCCTCAATTGCTGGGTTTAAAGGCATTGTGCCACCATGCCTGGCCCCCATGATTGACTTTAAGATCCAAGGATGGGGGAACCCGAAAGATTCACAGAGGAAGAAGTGTGTCTCAAATGTTTTCAGTGTAGGCTGCTTGAAGAAAAGGGCTGCTACAGCAATACAAGTTTTACTGCATCTTGTTAAGTAGCTTCACTCTTGATTTGGAGTAGTTATTTATTTATCGATCATGGTGTCACATGCCTGTAACACCAGCTCCAGGGGGACCCAGTGCCTCTGGCCTCATGGTACTTCCGCTTATGTGCATATACTAACACAGAGGCACATAATTAAAAAATAAATCTAAGGAGGGGTTTAAAATGTGTGAAATGCAGCTACATGAGTTCACCATTATGCAAAAATTAGCATTTTTTCCATAGATAAGACAGGACATCACTACACCCTATCATCTTACAGGACCGCTGTCACATGTGGTCTGTCCTTGGCTAGAAGTTCATCACATGGCACTTGATGTTTGCTTTAACGCCAAATCTGCCACCAGGGAATTCTCTATGCTTTTGATTTTTTTAAATATTTATTTTGCTCTTATTTTTGAAACACCTTTATTGGAATAAAACTTGCTTATCAGTATGAACCAAAAATTTTTAAAGGTACAGTTCAGGGTTGCCTTTAGTTTTAAAGGATAGTTATGCTGAGTATGAAATCCTAGGTATGCCACTTTTAAAATGCTGTTCCATTCATTAAATTCTGTCTCAGTCAGCTCTGAGTTTTATCTTGAAGAGAAGGTTTTTTGTCGTTGTTTGTTTCCTCCTTCTAGCAGGCTCAGACCTTGAAGCCTAAGCTGACCTCAGACTTCTGACTTAGCCCCTCTAGTGCTGGAATTAACTGGTATTGCCATCACCCCTTGCTCTCTGACCATCTTTAAAGATTTCCTCTGTATCTTTGTCTTTCAAAACTTTGAGTATAAGGTGCCTATGTGTGGTCTTTTAAAAGGAGAATAAACTT